TAAGGCTTCCCTCTCCCCTCAGTCCGCAAATTTGCACACTCCATCCTCATTTGTTTGGACAAGTTGCATCGAAATGCATTCATCCACTGTGACTTTAAACCAAAAAAGATTCGTCTGAAGCAGCAAAGACAAAGCGAAAATTAAGCATTTGATTTCGGCTCGAGTTGCTTTGAACGCCAACGCAACATCAACACGTGCATCCAGTCACGATTTTATCGAACTCCCAAAGTGATGCTGTGCTGCAGGTACAATGTCTCAATCGATATCGGGGGTTTCGGATGTATCCTTGCGGAGTTATTAACTGGTAAGTGCGATGTGATTGCCTGGCAGCTTCGAATCAGGCCGATGTTAGTGTCTTATTTGATGCAGACTGCAAACCTGCCACACGTCGGAATTCTGATTCGTGAATCTGAGTTGTAGAGCGCAGACCGGTCGCTCGGTCGCTTAGGTCAGATCAGACTCAGACAGACTAACGCATCGGATTCTTGCAGTGTCTACAATTACACTATCCTGTCTGGCGACACCGCGGATTAGGATGACGTGGCGACCCGTCGTCATCTTAACTTCGGCGTTGGGGGCTTGCGTGCCAGGCCTACTCGCGTGTACCACGTATGCTCTAGTATTTGTGCATGTTCTGGCCAGTTTAACGTCGTATTATTTGATGCATGAACTGTTTCACTGTTGTTTCAGTGTGCTGAGCTAAGCAAACTTGAGATAGCCAGTTTTGGTGGCCCCGATCTGGGTCTAGATCACACCTCGACGTGAGGCGAGACATATTGCACCTCAACTAGGTGTGAATGACGTTAAATGGACAAATGCTTTGATTTCACTGGTCGGTAGTTCCGTGTTTTCAGATGAGCATGCAATCTAATATTTTGCCACTCGCGGTAAACGTAAAAACAATGCGTAATGGGCTGAAATGCTACTTTCATAAACCACCTCATGCTTAACTTAAGTGAGAGTTTGACATTTGCCTAATTTTTCATAATGCCATGAATCCATGAAATAATAGCTACGAATTGAAATAAGTGGACTGACCTAAAGGAGAGCAATTTTATTAAAATTGATGACACGACAATATCTTGAGGGTTCACTCATTGCCCACTGAATGGCGTTGAGACAATGTCGAGTCAATTTGTGCATTTTCTGGCCAGTTCAAACTCGTATTACTTGATGCGCGCATTGTTTCACTGTTGTTTCACTGTGGCACGTCGAGATAGCCAGTTTCGGCGGCCCCGATATGAGTTGACATCACAACTCGGCGTGTGGCGAGGCTTATAACACCTGGATTAGACGTTATTGGCACTTAATCGACAGTGGCTTGGATTTCGCAGGTTGGTAGTTGAGAGTTTTGGGAGTTGACGTTTCATTATTTGGTTGTCGATCTG